AATTCTTGCAATGGATACACCCAAAGCTCCAAGACTAGATGGAACCACTATGGCCTTCTACCAGGGTTGTTGGGAGATACTAAAACCGGAGACAAAGGCTATGACAGAGCCTTCGTCTCCTAGTTCTACCATTCCTGCTCCTCCTACTAGTCCTTTAGTTTTCATTACTCATCATAATGTTCAGAGGTGGTACCAGAGACAAAGGCTATGACATAATCAAGTTGTTCTTTCATCTATAGTTGAGCCTCAGACACTCAACCCCTAAAGAGAGGACAAGTCCTTTACCGCCTACTCCAGAACCTCCCTTCCTAGACTTGGACCTACCTATTACTGAAATAGAAGCACTTCATAAAAATCATACCTAGGATATTGTAGATTTGCCTCATGGGAAAGAACCAGTGAGATGTAAGTAGGTGTTCACTATCAAGTATCATATTGATGGCACCATTGAGAGGTATAAGGCTCAACTAGTAGCCATGGGTCATACTTGAGAATTCTATTATCCTTGACAACAAGTTATGACTGGCCCTTATATTAGTTTGATGTGAAGAATGCTTTCTTAAATGGAGACTTGACTGAAGAGATTTACATGTCATTTCCACCGGGTATGTATGGTAAGGAAATGCAAGACAATGTATCCAAGTTGAAGAAATCTATCTATGTCCTCAAGCAATCCCTACGAGCTTGGTTTGATAGATTCAGTGCTGCACTTGTTGAGTTTGGCTATACAAAAACACAATCCGACCATACCTTGTTTGTGAAGAGGAGAGGCACTCAAGTTACCTTCCCCATTGTTTATGTTGATGATCTTTAAATTCTATCTTCAATAAAATATTTTGTTATTGATCCAAAAAGAATTCTTCTTTAAATTCTATCTTTAATAAAATATTATGTTATTAATCAAAATAAATTCTTCTTTAGATTCTATCTTTAATAAAATATTCTACTATTGATCAAAAAAATTCTTCTTTAAATTCTATCATTAATAAAATATTATGTTATTGATCAAAAAAATCTTCTTTAAATTCTATCTTTAAAAAAATATTCTATTATTGATCAAAAAAAATTCTTCTCTAAATTCCATCTTTAATAAAATATTWTGTTATTGATCAAAAAAATCTTCTTTAAATTCTATCTTTAATAAAATATTTCATTTTTTATCAAAAAAATTTCTTCTTTAAATTCCATCTTTAATAAAATATTTTGTTATTGATCAAAAATTCTTCTTTAAATTCTATCTTTAATAAATATTCTATTATTGATCAAAAATATCTCTTTAAATTCTATCTGTAACAAAGTATTATGTTATTGATAAAAAAAAAAACTGATATTATCGTTACAGGGAGTGATACAGAGGAAGCTCAAGCACTCAAGACATTCCTTAATTCAGAATTTTTTTTATCAATAACACAATTCATTAATTATCACAATAATTACAGGGAGGAAGACAAACTTTCTTATCTTCCAACTACATTATGAGCCCCAAGAGAAGAAACAAGAGAGAAAAAGAGAGCAGGAGAAGAAAAAATTAAATTACAACTGTGCCCAAAACATGACGTCCCTGTCCACCCCTTGTTTAGCTAACTTCCGTTTCTCGAACCAGCCATCTGAATTTCCTCTTCAAATTACTATAACTCCATAAACCACTCTCTTCTTTGTTCAGCCACCCAACCACCACCTCCGAGTCCCCTTCAATTATGAGTTTTCTGATATTCATCTCCCTAACTTTCTAGACACCTTCCATAACTGCGTGGATCTCAACTCTGGGAGTATCACCCACCCCAATTGGGCCTGAGAAGATGGCAAAAGCAATCCCATTCTCATCCCTGAAGACACCCCCAATCCCTGATTGTCCGGGGTTCCCTATGCTACTTCCATCAAAGTTTAGTTTTATGAAGCTCGCAAGTGGGGGAGTCCAAAACACACTCACCCCAGCTTTAGTCTGGGTAGAGCTAGCAATCTCACCCCACTTCCTCAACATATCCACTATATATTCTATGAAAAGCTCTAGGGACTTCATCCATTGAATAACCCTTATGTGTATCAAGGCCCTCAACTCTTCCCACAGAGACCAGCATACTGCTGCCCCCAGTCCACTCCACATAGTCCTTCCCCTTTTCATACACCACCTAAAGAAAGAAGGATCAAAAAGGCCCTACAAATTTGAAGGAGGAATCCAGGTACACCCAAAAAGAGAGCAAACCCACTCCCAATTAGATTTTGCAAAATGGCAAGACACCAGAAGATGAAAGTCAGTCTCCCCATCAACTTTACAAAGAACACACCAATGAGGGGACAAACAAGTAGTCTCTTCTTTTGGAGCAGATCACCCGTGTTGGTTCTTTCCAGAAAGGCTTCCCAACAAAAACTACCAACCTTAGGAGGAATTGGCCTGCACCAAACCTCATTGACAAGGAAACGAGGGGTTATAGGATTGGTGGGCTGGCTTAGTACTTTCAAGAAAGAGACATAGAAAAAGAACCAGTAGGGGTGGGGGTCCAAATTCTGGAGTCATCCTTAAAAGGGTCCAAGAAAACATTATCAAGAAGAGAGAGGATCCTTGAAATACTGTCTAGGTCTAAGTCTCATAACCCTTCTCAGACCCAAATTCCAATCAAACCCAGAGATGGAAGAGGATGGGGTCAAAAAGGAGGAATCTGGCTCATTTTTAAAATCAGAAAGTGCATACAAATAAGGAAACTGGTCCTTAAGGGGTGCATTCCCCAACCAAGTTTGTTCCTTGAATTTTATGGAGTTGCTTGAGTTCAAATCATACCTGATAAGAGGGGAGAAAACTGGTAATAAGTCATGAATGGCTTTCCAGGGCGAGGCACTAGTGGTCCTTGTCAGAATTCCAACATCCCATCCGTTTAGCTCTAGCCCATGTATGCTTACCACTATTTTGGCCCATAGTTTATCCTTCTCTAGTGGGAATCTCCACAACCATTTCCCCAAGAGTGCCAAATTCCTTTCTCTAATATTCCCAAGCCCTAGCCCACCATTGCTTTTACTTCTGGTCAACACCTTCCAGCTTACCCTATGGTCCCTCTTCTCCTTTCCCAGCTCCCAAAGAAAATCTCTCATCATTTTTTCCAGTCTATTAACAACCTTTATTGGGATTTTGAAACACTGAAAGGAAATAGATGGGTAAATTTGCTAGAGTATCCTTAATCGGTGATGTCCTACCTCCAAGAGAGATAATTCTTTTTCCAAGCTGCAAGTCTCTTCTCAAATCTTTCCACCACCGGACTCCAGAAACTCTCCCTCTTTGGATTGTCACCCAAAGGCAATCCCAAGTTCAATGGCCATCGTAAGACCACACACCCTAGCACTTTTGCACTCTCTCTAGTTTCTTGCTCCTCCAAATTCACACCCATTACACAACTTTTCTCAAAGTTCACCTTCAAATTTGACATCCGTTCAAGAAGTAGTACCACCAATTTCATATTCCTAATATACTCCAAGTTTCCTCCTTCACAGAACAAAATTGTGTCATCTGCAAACTGTAGGTGGGTGAGGGGGGTTTCCTCCCTTCCAACTCTCCATCCTCTAATGAGACCCCTAGAGTTGGCTCTGTGAATCAGTCTCCCCAATACATCAGCAATCAATGTGAACAAGAAGGGAGAGAGGGGGTCACCTTGTCTTATACCCCTTATGGCTGGAAAGAAATCAACCACTGTTCCATTCACTAATAAAGAATAACGACAGTTCCAAACACACCCCATTATCCATTTGCACCATCCATCCCCAAATCCAAATTTGGACATAACTCCCCTCAAAAAGTCCCAATCTACCAGATTAAGCCTTTTCCAGATCCAACTTACATACCACTCCCTTCTTCCCACCCTTTCTGAAATTCTCAACACTCTCATTAGCAATTAAGATTTGGTCGGTAATTTGTCTTCCACTCACAAAGGCTCATTGATTTGGTGTAATGATATCTAGCAATACTTCATTCAATCTCAGGGACAGCACCTTAGCCAAGATCTTATACAAACTATTTACCAAGCTGATTAGCCTAAAGTCCTTCGGGTGGGACGCATCTTTCTTTTTCGGAACCACAGCTAAAAAAGTGGAATTCACACCCGGGTTAACCACTCCTCTCCTATGAAATTCCTCAAACACCAACAAACATATCATCTTTCAAAATACCCCAGCAATCTTGGTAAAAAGCCATTGTGAAACCATCTGGGACCTGGAGCTTTTGTTCTATCCATTGAGAAGACAGCCTCCTTAATTTCTTCAAACTCAAACCTTCTTTCCAATCTTCTCCTATTATCAAACCCCACATCTGGCCAGTCCAAGCCTTCCAACCACACCCTCCTACTCACAGGCCTCCTTAAGATAGATTTAAAATGTCCTATAAAGGCCCCTATAATCTCATCTTGTTGTGTTAACTCAACTCCATCCACCTCCAATTTGGAAATAAAATTCCTCCTCCTTCCATTAGCCAGAGAATGAAAGAACCTGGTATTCCTATCCCCCTCTTGCAGCCACATACATTTAGATTTTTGCCTCCGGCTTATTTCCTCCTTATGTAGGCAGTCCTCTAACTGTCTCCTCAAACTTCTTTGCTCCTTGTCTACCTCCCCAAAATCTCCTCTCTCTTCCTTCACATCTAAGCTCACAATTTGGTCAATCAAAGTTCTCTTTCTTTCTTCAATCCTTCCAAACTCCAATTGATTCCATTCCTTAATCTTTGCTTTCAGAAATTGTAATTTTTTATGTAACCTCATTCCTTCCCATTCCACCATTGGATTGCATTCATTCCACCACTCCCTTACTCTTTTAGTGAACCCCAGATGGAGTAACCACATATTTTCAAACCTAAATGGGGAAGGTCCTCCACTCCTCTGCTCCTTGTAGATCACAATAGGCCAATGGTCAGAGGTCAATCTAGGAAGGACTCTAGAATCTAAACTCCTCTAGTGTTCCTCCCAATCCAGAGAGAACAGGAACCTATCCAGCTTGGAACATATGGGATTTGCTTGGAGATTTGACTAGGTGAAAGTCTTAGGTGATAAGGGAATCTCTTTAATTTCAAATGCATCCACAAACCGGTTAAACTTCCTCATACTAGTTGTCACCCTTTGATTGGTATTATTGGTTTCCTCCTTGAATCTTATCACATTAAATTCCCCACCCACACACCAAGGCCCATCCCATAGCCCTCTGATATCAGCCAGCTCCTCCCACAATTCCTTTCTCTCTCTATTGTCATTTGGTCCATAAACATTTGTGAGCACCCACACAAAACCATCCTCTTGTTGCTTGAAGTTCAAGGAAACTGAATACTTTCCAATCAATTCCCCCATGCCTAAAGCTACATCCTTATTCCACATTGTCACTATCCCCCCTGAGGCACCCCAAGAGGGAGCAGCCACCCAGCTAATCCCCCTGGCTTTCCAGACACTCCTTGCCCATCTATCATTAAACTCCATTCTCTTGGATTCCTGTATGAAAACAATGTCTGGGTCATACTTCTTAATTACCTCTTTGATCAAAGCTCTCTTCCTCGCACTTCCTATGCCCCTCACATTCCAACTAGGTATCTTCATAATCACACTTTCCTTATCTCCCTACTACTCCTCACCAACTACTTCACCCCTTTCCTTCTAATTCCTTTCACCGTGAAACTCTTATCACCTTCCACATCTCTTTTCAATCTCTCAACTTCACTCATTTTCCTTTTCTTTGTTTTGATTTCTTTATTCTTCTTCTTCTTCAGTAGGCCATTTTTCAAATCATTCAACCTCCATTCTACATCCTAGCTTCCCCACAAAGTCTGCTATCAAGCCTTCTCTATTTGATCCCTCCACCGCTTTCCTCTCTGAATATTCCTTTCCATTTCTCCCTTCCTCTCTTTCACCCCTCTCAACTGATCCCTCCCCTCTTCTCTCTTCTAAATCCATCCTCCACATCACATTCTGTTCAATTTCACTGAAACTTCTCTCAAATATTTCCCATATTTTCTCATTCCTATGCCTTCCTTCCACCATCTCCCCACAATCCATCAATCCCTTCTCCATAAAATTATGACCCACCATCTTGGTTGCCTACACATACACGAGCTGTTGGACTTGGAGTGGGAACTGAATTTGGGACAAAGGACACAGAAAAGACATTAGTAGCATAATCTGAATTCACTTGGTTACCTGGGTTTGACCGGCAGGTGGGAGAGGTACACGTGGCACTATTCCCATCCCCCCTTTCATGTTCAGAGGATTGGTAAAATATTGTCTCCTTAGGTTGGTTGGGAAGCCCTTCTGTCCTTTGGACACCATAGCAATCTCTCCTCTCAACCCTTGGTTCACCCCTTATTAGTACATTTTTGCTTTGCCTTAAGTTCCCCTAGTTTACCCCTTCTTTTACACCTTGCCCGATCTAAAGTCTTGAGAGTGGGTTATTCCCATTTGTTAGTGTTTTGTCTGCCTGTTAGACTTATAACAGTCAAGGAAGAGAGAGAAAAGAGAGAAAGGAGAAGAGCAGAAGAGAAACAAGGAGAAAAGATTATGGTTCGAATAAGAGAAAAAGTTCACTCTCTCATTCGGCCAGATGTATTTTATATTACTAAAATAATGTGGAAAAGTCACATATGCCCCTACTTAAGTTAGGGACATTAGATCTAACATAAACTTACACATCAGCACCTAAACACAAGCACAAAGACAGAATTACCCCTACATACTCCACACTAACACTCCCCCTCAAGTTGGAGAGTATATATCATATAATCCCAGCTTGTTACAAATGTAGTCCACTCTCCCCGGACTCAACCCTTTAGTAAACAAATCTTCCCATTGGTTCCCTATGTTGACATATGCAGTGTTTATCACTCCACTCGGCACCCTTTCTAACAAAGTGACAGTCAACCTCTATGTGTTTGGTTCTCTCATGAAACACCGGATTAGAGGAAATGTGAACTGCAGCCTGATTGTCACAGTAGAACTTCATTGGAGTATCAACAGTGTATCCCATCTCCTGTAGAAGGTTCCTTAGCCACACTAATTCACAAGTAGTATGTGCCATAGCTCTATATTCTGCCTCTGCGCGCTACTTCTTGCCACAACTGTCTGCTTCTTGCTTTTCGATGTCACCAGATTACCCCCAAGAAAAGTGCAATAGCCTATGGTAGATTACCCCCAATCTACGTTAGTATGTCCTTCTATTTCAAGTTTTCCACCACTTCTGTATATCAAACCGCGACTAGGAGCCCCCTTTAAATACCTCACAATCCTTATAACCGCATCCCAATGTGGAACCAGAGGTTTCTGCATGAACTGACTTACCACACTAACTACGAATGAAATGTCTGGCCGAGTGATGGTTAGGTAGTTCAGTTTATCTACCAGCCGTCGATATCTGCCAGGGTCTTCAAACACTTTACCCATATGCCAGTCCACTACTACCACTACGGCCATATGCCGGTCCACTACTACCACTACAGCCAAACTGAGCTCCCCGAGATCCACCTCTAACACCACGGCCTCTAGATACTGCTAGGGCTGATCTATCGGAAATATTAGGGTTCTCAGTAGATCCAATGGAAATCCTCCCGAGTCGAGCAAACACCTCTTCTAAGGAAGGGAGAGCTGACCCTCCTAGTATCTGAGCCCGCACTAGTTCATATTCAGATTTCAGCCCCACCAATAACCGAGTCACATCAAGTTGTTCTCTCTGTTGTTGTTGAATTTTGACATCAGAAGTGAGGGGGTGATAAACATTCAATTCATTACAGATGTTTTTCATACTAGCATAGTACTCCTCAAGACTCTGATTACCCTGTTGTTTATTAAAGTATTCCTGGTACAACTGATATACTCTGGTTGTGTTGTCTTGACCCAAATACAGCTTCTTAGCATGGTCCCACACTTCTTTGGCAATATCAAGGAACATGAAATTTACACTAATCTTGGGTTCCATACTATTCCATAACCATGTGATGATCTGTGCATCTGCTTGCTCCCAATCATCATACTAAGGAGAATTGGTGGAAGGTTTTTCATCCCTTATGTGCTTCACCTTCTTCTTTGCCTTAAGAAAGACTTGTACAGATTTGGCCCAAGGTACATAATTTTCTCCATTCAGCTTAATGGAGATCATTTGAACATTCAGGTAGTCAGTAGGGACCATCACACTAGTCTTGCTATCACTGTTGTCTCCCATTTCTGAATTCGGCAAACTGCACACTAGATCACACTACACCCTGATTTCAGCACTTACTACTGCTGCAATTGCACTCTTTACACCACAAACCCAACTCCACAACTGCCTGAAACTTCCCAACACTGTTTGAGGAACACCCCCCCCCCTTCGAATCGCACTGAAGGGTGCACAAACCCTAGCACACTACAATCTGAAATCCCACCATACAGTATACAGTCTGAAATAGACTTCTCATTTGATTCACACCAAAAAAAAAATGCATAAAACCTCTTACCTGATCACCGAAAATCAGACCACACAAGACACCCACTACAGCCCTCTTCTCTTCATCGATTAGGGGAGAGCTTCTTAGAAACTGTAGCAACCGACCACAAACACCACAACTGGAGGCATAGAAACCTCCAAGGGAAGAGGTCGATCACTCCTTTTCAGCCTTGTCTCTTATCTCTAGCTGATGGCGAAGAAAATAAGAGAAAACCCTAGGCTAGGTGCGCAGATAACAAAATTCTGGGCAGATCCGATTTGCTCAGTTTAGCTCTAATACCATGTTAGTGTTCGGTTTGCCTGTTAGACTGATAACAGTCAAGGAAGAGAGAGAGAAGAGAGGAGAGAAAGAGAGAAAGGAGAAGAGCATAAGAGAAACAAGGAGAAAAGATTCTGGTTCGAAAGAGAGAAAAAGTTCATTCTCCCATTCGGCCAGATGTATTTTGTATTACTAAAATAATGTGGAAAAGTCACATATGCCCCTACTTAAGTTAGGGACATTAAATCTAACATAAACTTACACATCAGCACCTAAACACAAGCACAAAGACAGAATTTTCCTACATACTCGACACTAACACCATTGTTGTCCTTAGTCCCATTTACTTCATGAGTCCCAACTCTACTTTTGTTCCCTGTCAGACCTCCTTGGCCGTCTGGAGTAAGAAATTGTTTTTCCTCGAGCCTTCATTGAAAAGACTTTCAATATTCAGCAGGCCCATCTCACCCACATCGCATCCACCTTCGTCATTCACACTTCCTGTGCTGGTTCCGCCATCTGAACTCTCTCCCAGATCTTTGTCTGTGCTACAATGCACCCAGCCTTCATCCAGTTCTCTCTCTTCATTTCTCTCTCTTGCGTACCTTGGATTTGGCTTTTCTGAAGAACGTTGCACCGAGCTTCAAATCTCATAATTTCTTCGGGGCATCCATTGTAGAACACCTGGTTGTTCTTATTTCCGCCTCTGTAACTAAAACCTCCCATATCTCGCCGTTTTGGACGATGATAAACCCAAACACAGGTCTGTAGTCGAAACAAAATCCACCCCCTTGCCTCAACCCACGTGATCTTTTAAGTTATCACATGAGTACTTAAAATTAGACCGCGGTTTAGAGGTCCGCCCGCCCAACACCGGCTCAGACTAGGCTTTTCGACTGCATCCTCCTAATCCCTTCGCCACATCAGTATAAGAGAGGTGGCCCGCTCTAACTAAATTCAAATCTATTACTTTTGAATTAATTTCCCTTACTAGCATGCTTGTCGTTTGGTTTACCCCAGACAACTGAACAAGAGCCAAATTAATTTCCCCCTACACATTCTTTTCGCACCCCAATCTATTTCCTCCACACGTCCAACACCCTTCCACCTCACCCTTTGTCTTCAACCTTGGGAGTTCTTCCCCACCACGCCTGTTCAACTTCTGAAACCACCCACGCCTTATATCAGACCCTACCAGAGCATATCTCAAAGACCCTAGGCAGTTTTTCATGCTTGATTCCTGCAACCTTCAGCTCAATGGCATCCAGATGATTCTTACTTGCCCGCAACAGCACTCCTCCGAAGCTGTGAACAATTTGTTCAAGAGCAGAGTCCCACCAGAGGTTGAAAGGAAGGCCAACCAGCTTCAGCCAGGTGCACCCATCTTGAACTTCCACTTCATTACAGCTTGGGCTCCAATTCTGGAATTGTATAAGGCTATCATCCACAGCCACTGCTTTGAAACTTAACTCCTGGCCTCCTACATCAAGAACGGCCTTATTCTCTGTAAACGGGATTAACATTGCTTCATTGCCCAAACCTAGCTTCCCTGCAACTACATTCAATACTTCCTTCCAGTCTTTGACTCGCTTATCAGCCACTAAGATCATTCTTTTTTTCCATTCATCCGTCCCTGCTCCTACCCCATATTCTCTGGTGATTTGAAGAGCAAGCAACCACCAAACCAGGAGACCCAGAGCCTTGTGTGTTAACGCTCCCAGTAGTCTCAACCATACCTCCTTCCTCTTGGCTTTCCCTGTCTTGACCCTTGGACTTCTGACCAGATACCTTCGCATCCTCTGTCTTCTTTCTAGCCGAGGCAACAAGGAACTCTTGTAACTTCACCACATAGGCCACCCATCCTCTCTG